GCCTATCAGTGGTCCCAGAGGCTGGAAACCACAGGGGCAAGGGGGCTGCCCTTGTGCTAGGGCCCCACTTTCAGGTTTCCCAGCAGGCTGGACCCCAGGGACGCGGGACGAGTTGGGCCATTGGGCTGGTCCTGCATCCTCTTCCTTGGTTCTTAGGATACTGGTGGCTCTGGAGACCACGCTGCCTCTTGCGAATTGCTTGAGCTCACCCCCAAAGGCGCATTCCTCCGTTGTCTTCCGAAACGGACGGATGCCAACAGCCACAGGTGCCCAGAGAGAGACCCAGTTTGTCCGGAGCCCGGTGTCCCCATCCAGGCTGGCATCTCCTGCGGCTTCTTCGCCGCCGCCGGCTGAGGGGCATTGCCCAAAGAGAAGCCCCCTCCCTACCATCTCCTCCTCCTCCTGGGCCCCGTCATCCTCCTGGCAGCTCCCAGCTCCCTTGCGCCAGCAGCAGAGTCTCCCTCAGGCTCTCCCTCGAGAACAAAATACTCCCTTCTTCTCCGCCTCGTGCCGCCCTCTCCGGATCGTATGGCTGACAAAACGTTTACCCAGCTGGGCCCTCCCGGCGCATACAGTGGGCATCTGTGTCTGGGGCAGGGTCATGTGCACCAGCTGTTCTGTCACTATTGTGAACTTGGGGGGAGAGGCTGGCTCCGTTCCGCCATCTGCCAGGCTGCTGCAGCACCCTCCTCTCTCTGCCTGCCCCCCACCCCATGAAAACGCTGCATGGGGAGATGGGGGCAGCAGCACAGGTGAGCTGATCCACATCCTCAGAGCACCATTTGCAGACAGGTCGAGCGTCTGCTGACCTCGCCTTCCAGACGTGTTACCGTATTTTTCGCTCTATAAGACGCACCAGACCAAAAACGCACCTAGTTTTTGGAGGAGGAAAACAAGAAAAAAAATATTCTGAATCTCAGAAGCCAGAACAGCAAGAGGGGTCGCTGCGCAAGTGAAGGCAGCAATCCCTCTTGCCGTTCTGGCTTCTGGGATAGCTGCGCAGCCTCCATTCGCTCCATAAGACGCACGCACATTTCCCCTTACTTTTTAGGAGGGAAAAAGTGAGTCTTAGAGAGCAAAAAATACGGTACTCTGCTTCTGAATCCCAGTTGCTGGAAAACCACAGGATGGGGGGGGGGAATTGCTCTTTTCCTCAGATCCAGCCGGTTCATCTTAAGGTCATCATTGTTACCACCCCTACTACCCCCCCCAAAAAAAACCATTCCTCTGGGCAACATTCACCCAGTTCCTTCAGTCTCTTCCTGCCTCTGCCCATCTTCAGAAGATTCTCCTTTCCCATTTGGCCTCTTCTTCCGAAAAATCATGGCGCTCTGTGGCTTTTCTGCATCTGACCGCAGAACGGCAGGAGAGCTTCGCTTCCCACTTGAGTTTTGCAAAAATCCTCTCTGCTTTCAGGTGGGTCTGTTCTGAGGAGCCTTCGAAATTCGCCAGGCACATTTTGCACCTGGCTATCGGCCACCTGCAACCAGGTGAAGGTGCTCAGATGGTGCCTGACGTCTCCACCACCTGGAGGCGCCTGCCTGGGGTTCCGTGAATCACACACCAGCAACACATCCTGTAGAATTCTCTCCCATTACATTTTATCAGAATGAATTTCCAGAACCCCAAAGCCGTATTGGAAAATACAACTTAAGAGCTGTCTGGCCCCCAAATGGCAACCAGGCCTTCCGTTTTGGCGACTGTAACTCTGGTTTAAGGAGACATTTGCGGCCCCACTTTCATATCTGAGCTTCTAACACTTGAGATTTTCCCCCTTGCAGAAAGCCTGTGATTCCCCTCACCCACGAACCGACCCATTTTTAATGCGGAATGCTCCAAGGAGCAAACGCTGAGCCGGGAACTCGAAGGCGGGCGGGTTTTGTTGTTGTTCTTGCAGCTGCCAAGGGGTCCTCCTTGCGAGGAAGCCCACCCCGGTGGAGAAGTGGCTGGCCTCAGCCCCACCGCCTCTTCCTCCTCCACTGGGCACTGGAGGAGCCACTCTTCCTGGATACTTGGAAGGGCTGCTTCTAAATTTAGCTGCTGCTGCTCCTCCTCCTCCTTCCAAAACATCATCTGAGCAGACACAAAGCAGAAAGCTGCCTGCTGGGCTTTCCACCCTCCGTGGACTTCAGAGAGGGAGGACAGCTTGCAGATTCATACACACACCAAAGGCCTTGTCTCTGTCGCCTTCTTCCTGTTAACGGAGAAATGCGAGGGCTCCCTTGGACAAAAAACAAGGACCCCAGCCAGGAATCCCAGAGCAAAACAGCAGCCGGTAGGCTTGGTCTTGATTGAAGACTGTTGTGACAGGACTCCCACCTGCCACCAGGTGGAACAAGATGGAAGCCCCAAACAAAAGAGAACCCAAACTTTTATTAGCTGCTCACCCCCATGTTCCCCCCCCCCAAACTACATCACTCATACATCACGGTTACATCATGAAAGGGGAGGTCTGGGGGCCGTAATCTGAGCATCCTGGACCCTGCCCCATGGTTCCCCTTGCCCTCCACCAAACACCCATCAAGTGGAACAAAAGAGATATTTACATTTCCCTGTTTCCCAGCCAAGTTCATCCCACCCTTTTGTCTTCATCTGGGTCTGTTATTTCTGGAATGGCTACCTGTCTGGCACTCAGGTATCAGGATGCTCACATGTCTATAGGAATTTCTGAAGTTTTCCCAGTGAGCCAGTACATAGATACATCTATCAGTGAATTCCTACATTTGGTATCGTGCAGCAGAGGCCCTTTGAATAGGCAGGAAGAAACTGTGGCCAAGTGTTTTGTGGAGACAAGTCACAAAAGTGATTGTGCTGGTTTTGGTAGTGGGCTGCATATGCATGATATCTGCTGGAGGGGCAACCTCCCCCCCCCCCAGCCTATACATAAATTTCTGCAACATTCCCCTAGGCGGAGGGTGGGAAGACTCCTGGAGGGAGGGGGTCAGGAGGCTTAGCTGACCAGAGACCCCCAGATGGGCAGCCTGCAGGGGTTTGCCTGGCTGGAGAGGAAGGGGTCTGGTCTGACTTGTGATGAGGAACGGTTGAGGGAGTTGGGTAGGCTCAGCCTGGAGAACAGACAACATAGTCGATAGGACTTTAGGAAATGTAAATTGAATATTCAGCCACTTATTATTGAGGGGAAGTGCGTGGAACAGGTCTTGGTGTTTCGATTTCTGGGAATGGAGTTGAGAGATGACCTAACCTGGGGAGAAAACAGCAAAGACCTGATGAAGAGAGCACAATCTCTCAAAGGACCTGTTGATGGCATTTTACCATTGCACTGTGGAGAGTGTATTAACTTATGGTCTGTGTGTGTGGTTTGGGAGCTGCAAGGCCAGGGGAAAAACAATGCTGTCCAGGGTTGTAAAGACTGCAGAGAGAATAATTGGGTGCGCTCTTCCCACCTTGGATCAAATCTACGCTTCCAGGTGCCATAAGAAAGTGGCAGAGATAGCGCAGGATAGTGTGCACCCCGGAAATGATCTCTCTCAGCTTCTGCCTTCTGGAAGAAGGTCCAGGGTTATAAAGACTAGGACTAGCTGCCTGAGAAACAGTTTCTATCCAAATGCAATTTTGGTTTTAAACGCAGTGTAAGGTAGTCTCGACGCGGGTGGCGCTGTGGGTTAAACCACAGAGCCTAGGACTTGCCGATCAGAAGGTCGGCGGTTCGAATCCCCGCGACCAATAAATCCTCGGCCAATAAAGCGAGATGAGCGCTGCAACCCCAGAGTTGGTCACGACTGGACCTAATGGTCAGGGGTCCCTTATCCTTTAAGGTAGTCTCTATGGGAGTATATTGTATTTTAAGAATGGGGTATCAGAGTTTTTAGGGGGCTAACCAGGTTGGGATAGCTGGGGTAGCAGGCTTGTTGGTTTTGAATGTCTTATGTGGATCCCCCCCCCCAATTTCGTTGTTCTGTATGGGACAATGACAATAAAGATTATCGTATAGGAGAACCACCTTCAGAAATCTGAAGGGCTTTCCCCTGTAAGATTGGGCACAAACTTGTTTCCTGCTGCTGCAGAGGGCAGGACCCAAAGCGAACTTTCAGAGGGTCAGAGCTGATTCACAGGGGAACGGGCGACGGCTCTCCTCCCTTGTAGGTTTTTAAGGCTCTCGGAGATTCTTCAGCTGTGATTCCTGGGTTAGGTGGCCCTCGGGGTCCCAATTCTGTGACTCCAAAGCTGGGCCATGCTGAATCTTGAAACAGTATACAGCATGTAGTTCAAATAGAATACACCACTCAAACCCCCACGCAGCCCTGAAGCTTCCTGGGTGAGCGTGGAGTCAGTCGCGGCCTCCTAACCTCCCTCGCAGGGCCGTTGTAAGGAATTGATTGGGGGGGGTGAACTATGTTTTCCTTGGAGGAAAAGGCAGAATTCAGCGGAACCTCTGTTGTCAAACGTAATCCGTTCCGCAAGGCCGTTTGACTTCCAAAACGTTTGGCAACCAAGGCGCAGTTGCCGAAATCCGTTGTGGGGAAAAATGGAGCCGTTCAACTTCCGAGGCGCGTTCGGAAACGGAAGCATTCGCTTCCGGGTGGTCAGCGTTCGAAAGCCGAAACGTTCGACTCCCGAAGCGTTCGGCGACCGAGGTTCCGCTGTACGAATGCAGTGGATCAGGTCTTCTGCTCACCTGTGTAAGAGAACAGGAGAGGCCAGCCAGGTGGAGATGTCCGTGGCCAACTTGGTCTCCCACCTGAGACCCACACGGTCGCAACTGGACCCACGCCAGTCACAAAGCGTGCCTGGCATCTGGGGGATTTTGAACGCTCCTTCCCCCTCAGCCTCCAGCAACCTGCCCCTGGGGAGGCTTCGCTGTGGGGCTGCCTGACTCCTCCCCCTCCTCCTCCCCAAAGTGCCCCTCTTGGGCCTTGGCGGAGGCTTCCGTCAGCCAGCCTGAGTCACTTGGAAGTGTGGTGTTTTTTTGGGGGGGGGCTCCTTTTGGACTCTGCAGGGGCTTCCTGGGAGCTTAAAGACCCTGTTCTCTTCCTTCCCAGACCTCTCCCGAAACCGCTTTGCCGAGGTCCCCGAAGACGCCTGCCACTTGATGTCCCTGGAGGGGCTGAGCCTGTACCACAACTGCCTGCGCAGCATCCCCCCCGCCATCGCCAACCTCCAAGCCCTCACCTACCTGAACGTCAGGTAACTCGCACAAGGGGGAAGCCAGAGAAGGGGCGAGGGAACGGGGTGTTTCTCCAGGGGTGTGGCGAGAGCCCTCTGGATCCCTCGCGTTGGCGTTGAAAGCCATGAGCGACTCAGGCCCACTATACAGACCCTCCCAGGTTCTGAGATTGGCATAGGGGGCCTTCTCGGAGGTTCCTCTGCCCTCAGGGGGGTGGCCTGCCCCTGCAGAGCTGTGGGGCTTCCTCCTCCCCACAGAGGTGCTCCCGGCTTTTGCCACCTGAGCTGCGTGTTTTTATGACCCACCTCGTTTCCCTGGTTGCGAGCTGTTTTGAATCGGCTTTTATTTATTTCTTTTCAGTTTCCCAAGGTTATTCCAACAATAGCCCCGTGACGGCAACGCCGTTTCACATCTTTTCAAATTGCTTGTTGTTTTTTTTAAAAAACTTATTAAGAATTTAAACAAAACATATTATCTTAGTACATATCATCCTTGATTCCCGCCCCATTCCCCCCTCCTCCCCGACTTCCCTCAGTTCCAACCTCTGGTTTCTCTACAAAAGCTATTCTCTGCATGTTACAAAATTGTATAGATCCTTAATTTATCTGACTCGTTATTGTCGATAAAGAGTTTGTGAGTGTTTATTCAAAACCTGCCAAGGAGTCCAGTTCACTTTGTTGTTTCTTTAAATACTTTGTAAAAGGTTCCCATTCATCTTTAAAGTCACAGTTATCCTTGTCCCGTAGTTTATGTCTCAATTTTGCCAATTCTGCATAGTCCATCAATTTCTCTTGCCATAGTTCTTTAGTCGGCGTTTCCTCGTTCTTCCATCCTTGTTCTATTAAGACTCTTGCCGCCGTTGTCGCATACATGAAGATATTTTTCAGTTTCCTTGGCAGGTCTTTTCCTACAATCCCTAACAAAAATGCTTCAGGTTCCTTAACAAATGTTAGGTGGAACATTTTCCTCAATTCATTGTATATCATCTCCCAAAACTTTAATTTCATTACATTCCCACCACATAGGGTAGAATGTCCCCTCCTTTTCCTTACTTTGCAAATTGCTTCTGATGCTGCAACCTGCCGTGGGACCTCGGGAAATAGAGAAGACAAAATGGAATAAGTGCCCCCGCTCCCTTCCTCATTCCCCAGCCCACCCATACTGCTTTGCCGGTCTCCCCTGAGATTTGGGGAGCCAGATCTCTCCTCCTCCTCCTGCTCCTCCACTGTTGTCTTCTTCCCTGCAGCCGGAACCAGCTCTCATCCCTGCCCTCCTGCCTCTGCCGGCTGCCCCTCAAGGTCCTCATTGCCAGCAACAACAAGCTGGTCTCCCTGCCGGACGATATCGGCACCCTCAGTACCCTCCGCCAGCTGGTGAGTCGGCGACGCCGGGGGGTGGAATTCCTCCGGGACAGAAGCCCCCGGGAGACGGGCTCCTCTTGCTTGCCTTCCCCCAGGGTTCAGCCTCGCTGGTGTCTCCACACTGAGCTGAGCTGAAGCCACGTGGGGGGTGGGAGGGATCCCCAAGGCCCTCCAGACCTGAACCCCAAAGGCAGCAGGACCACCACCACCCCAACACATGCTTCGATCCGCTTGGACAATCCCCTGCAGACAATCCCCTGTATCCCTCTCTCACCCCAAATCGCCTCGAGGACGCCTAGGTAGAATTGTGGTGGGGGGCCCCCTCTCAAACATTCCTAGACAACACAAGAACGGGGCCTTTTCTGTGGTGGCTCCCCATTTGTGGAATGCCCTCCCCAGAGAGGCTCGCCTGGCGCTACCGTTGCATGTATTTAGGTGCAAGGCAAAAACCGTCCTCTTTACCCAGCCCGTCAGCCATTAGACAGTCTATGTCCTTTTAATTTTATTGTTTTATCCTTTTGGTAAACTGTTCTGAGGTGGTGGTTGGGTTTTTAAAAAATAAAATAAAATTGCTAGTATGTAAGTTTTATGAAATAAAGACGCTTTCTCTCCCTGCTCAATGCATTAATAATAATAATAATAATAATAATAATAATAATTTATTTATACCCCACCCTCCCCGGCCAGAGCTGGGCTCAGGGCGGCTAACACCAGTAAAATTATAGTAAAAACATAATGGGGGGGGGGGAACCAATCTAAAATACAGGTTAAAATACAATTTTAAATTCAGCCTCATTTTAATAGTAGCCCATAGATCAAGACCATAAGAGGAGGGAAACATAAGGGTCGAACTGAGTCCAAACCGAAGGCCAGGCGGAACAGCTCTGTCTTGCAGACCCTGCAGAAAGATGTCAAGTCCCGCAGGGCCCTGGTCTCTTGTGACAGAGCGTTCCACCAAGTGGGGGCAGTACTGAAAAGGCCCTGGCCCTAGTTGAGATGTTTCCAAAGCAGTCTTAGTACTGGCACTTCCAAGGCTCTCTCCCTGCCTCCAGGGCTCTCCCTCCCCCCCCCCACTGGGATGGGGTACGGCTCACCTGCGACCTTTCCCCAAATCCTCTTTTCTGCCTCAGGACGTCAGCAGCAATGAGCTGCAGTCCCTGCCGGCGAGTGTGGGCGGCCTGGAGTCTCTTCGGGACCTCAACGTCCGGAGGAACCAAATCGCCGTCCTGCCCGAAGGTCGGTACCTTCCCAAAGCCTTCCCCCTTTGCCGGCGCCATCTGGGCACCGGCAGATCCCGTGCTTCTAAACGGGCGACGGAGGCAGCCCTCCCTGCCCCTCTTCTGCCCCTCGCTCACAGACGCCTGTGCTTTGCCCCACCTCAGAGCTGGCGGAGCTGCCCTTGGTCCGGCTGGACTTCTCCTGCAACCGCGTCGTCCGCATTCCCACCTGCTACCGCCACCTGCGGCACCTGCAGTCCATCCTGCTGGAGAACAACCCTTTGCAGTTCCCACCTGCGCAGGTAACAGGGGAGCAGGGGGGCGGGCGGCTGAGAGCCAAGACTGCTTGGAAGGCGGGGGGCCGGAGCCGGCCTGTGGTTCTCCCCACCTTTTCCATTTATCCTGCCCTTAGTGGGGGCTCTCAGTGGGGCCAGGATGTGTAACAGGCTGGCGGGGAAGGCAGGCGCGATCCGGCAACTCGTCGCACCTCCCCCTCACTAAACGGGGCAGGCAGTCTTCGTTTTGCGGGGGCTGCCGCCGCCACCCTGTGACCCAGCGCCTCCGTTCTCCCGCAGATCTGCTCCAAAGGCAAAATCCACATCTTCAAATACCTCAACATTGAGGCCTGCAGCAAGGCACGGCCGGACTTGGCAGAATTCGCACAAGGAACCCGCCCCGCCGGCTTCGGGACGTGGTAAGGCGGGCAGAGGGGGGCCTGGGAGTCTCTGCTAAGCAGCTGCTGCCCCATGAAAGGGGCAGCGTGGCTCTGGAGTTGCTTTAGCTGCCGGATTGGGGCTGGAAGAGCATTGTTTCTGTGTCTGTTCCCACAGCCTCCCGGACGATTTCTACCACGTGCGGCAGTATGGCGGCCTCGACTCAGGCTTCAACAGCGTCGACAGCGGGAGCAAGCGGTGGTCGGGGAACGAGGTGCGGGAACGCCTTCCTCCTTTCCTTGCGGGGACATTTTTTACAGTTACGAAGGAAAGAGAGGGATGGGCTTTGCAGGGGCCCTGATCCCTGCCTAGGCAGCCCTCGAAAACCTTACAGCCAGAGGGGCGTGACGTGAGCCTCCCAGCCCGGTTGTGTCCCATCCTAGACATGCTGTTATAGGATTGCAGGGTTGGAAGGGATCTGCAAGGCTCCTCCAGTCCAGCCCCCTGCTGTGACTCCCTAACGCCTGAGAAGCAGCCAATGATCACACCTCAGTAATGCCTGGCAGAATAATAATAATAATAATTTATTATTTATACCCCACCCATCTGGCTGGATTTCCCCAGCCACTCTGGGCGGCCTCCAACAGAACACCAAAATACAATAACCTATCAAACGTTAAAAGCTTCCCTAAACAGGGCTGCCTTCAGATGTCTTCTAAAAGTCTGGTAGTTGTTCTTCTCTTTGACATCTGGTGGGAGGGCGTTCCACAGGGCAAGTGCCACCACCGAGAAGGCCCTCTGCCTGGTTCCCTTGGCTTCTTGCAGTGAGGGAACCGCCAGAAGGCCCTTAGCGCTGGACCTCCGTGTCCGGGCAGAACGATGGGGGTGGAGACGCTCCTTCAGATATACTGGGCCCTTGAGGCCGTTTAGGGCTTTCAAGGTCAGCACCAACACTCTGAATTGTGCTCGGAAATGTCCTGGGAGCCAGCGTAGGTCTTTCAAGACCAGAGTTATGTGGCAGCCTTTCTGGGTCACCTTCCAATGTAGCCCCACATAGAAGGCTATCCAAACCTTGCTTAAAATACGAAGGAGAGTCCACCGCCTTCCAGGGCCATAGAATTCTAGCATCATAAAGTTGGAAGGGACCCCCGTGGGTTATCTACTCTAGCCCCCTGCAATGCAGGAATCGCAGCTCAAGAATCATGCTGCCTCTGCTTAAAAGCAAAGGAGTCCGTTCAGCTGTCGGACGGCCCTTACCACCCCTCATTTGCTGTTTCTCTCTCCTCCTTCACCGCCCCTCTTTCTCCCCACTTCTCAGTCCACAGATGAGTTTTCGGACCTCTCCTTCCGCATTGCTGAGCTGGCCAGAGACCCCAAGCAGTTGAGGGAGAAGCGCAACGGGACAGGTGAGGAGCCAGGCAGATGGAGGGGGTGGTGTTGCTAACAGCAAGACCTGACTTTGGGCCTGGAGGGAGGGGGAAAAGAGGGAGACCTGAGCCCTAACCTGCTTCCTTCCTTCCTCTGTTCCCCCAGTGGATGCGGCTGACCTGGAGCAGATTGACTACATCGACAGCAGCGTCAACGGGGAGGAAGAGGAGGATCAGGTCTCCGTGGGAAAGCCAGAGAGCGCCTCTCTGGGGACGGCACCCTCCGAAGTGAGAATGCAGCTTGCCCTCCTACTGGCAGATCTTGCGGTTACTCTTGGGTCCTCCCGGGGCAGGATTTCCCCACGTCCTGCTGGGAGAGTTGGAAGGGAGGGCAGGGGTAGCGTCCGAGGATGGTGAGGCCCCTTGCATTCTCCCCAAACAGAGGAGCGACTCTGGGGTCCTGGGCAGGCAGAGTGTGGCATTTGTGGGCTGGGGGCAAAAGCTTCTGAATCATCTTGTTTTGCTTGAACAAGATGGTCACCAGTGGGTGATAAGAGGGTTGGACTGCCGATAGGAAGACGTCCTGACCACATTCTCGTCTTTGTGTTCTGCCGGAGGGAGTTCCACAGTTCAGCTGTGAAAACGGGCTTTGTTTTCTCTGTCCCAATTCCCCCAACGCTCCGCTTCTTGGAATGAGTTCTGGTGTCACGAGAGAGAGGGATGAAAGCTTTTCCCTATCCGCCTTCTCCTCCCCGGGCGTAATTTTCTAAGCTGTCACATTGCAGCTTCAACCAGCAAATTACTTCCTCCCTTTCCCCCCCTTTATTTGCTCACGTTTTCTCTCTTCTTGGCCTCTTCTAGGACTTCCAGAAGCCCAGGAAGAGCTCCTCAACTTCCCTCCAGAAAACAGGACTTGCGGAGCAGGGCCTGACCGGCAGGTGTGTGGCGCCACCTTGCGGCCAGCTCCCCGCACAAGCGGGCGGGATCTCGCGCCGGATGCAGCCTTGTCCCTGTGGGGTCTCCTTTCCGTCTCCACCAGCTCCCCTTCCTCCCAGGGTGCCGTTGACCCGTACTCAATCCTGAGCTTGGGGTGTGGGGTCCTCAAATCCCTCTTGGCTGCTGGGAATGGCCCAAACCCCACATGCTCTTCTGGGCTTTGAGCCCACTTGCTGTGGGGCGGTGTTCCCTCCTGCTGAAAGGGGAGAAGGGTTTCCCTTTTGCAGGGGGTCAGGCAGTCAGCCAGTGATAGGCAGCAGGCCCCCCCACCATGCTTTTTGTGTCCTGTGCTGTGTCCTCTGCGACACCCTGAATCTTGCCTTCCCCCCTCCTCCAGGGCCAGCCTTCCCCGGCCGGAGCCATTTGGGGAGGAGCGCCGTCGCCCCGAGATCCTTCAGCTGTGGCAGGAGAGGGAGCGCCAGCAGCTTCAGCAGCGGCCCCTGTGGAGCCAGGGGGCCGAGAGGAGGGAGAGGTAACGGCCGGGAAGGAGGGGTCGGGGGCTGGTGCTTCTGCTTATTTATAACAGTTTTTGCATACCACCCTATCATAAAAAATGCAGCAATAAAACCATGCCATAAAGCCACAAGAAGTTGGAAGCAGACCTCGCTTAACCCTCGTGCAAGGAGCTGCCCTTAACTGCCTGCCTGTAGCCCTAAGCTGCCCCCCAAGTGCCTGTGAGAGGGAGGAATTGAACCCAGGCCTCCTCAGCCCAATCCTCTGCCCACTTTATGCTGTTGGCTGCTGTTGCTATCGCTCTCTTCATCAAATAAATAAGATGGGACTCCTGTCTTAAAACTCAGAAGCCAGTGGCTGTACCTCGGTTTTTGAAGCATCTTGGAAGCCAAACGTTTTGGAACCCAAACATCGAAAACCCAGAAGTAATTGCTTCCGATTTCGAACGCACCTTGGAAGTCGAACGGCTTCCTAGGTGTGTTTTTCATTTTTCTCCGTTGACTTTGCCAACCGCCCTTTGCTCCCTCAGTTGTCGAACATTTCGGAAGTCAAACGGTCTTCCAGAACGGACCGCGTCCGACAACCGAGGTTCCACTATATTTCATTTCATTTCATTTCATTTATTGCATTGATAGCCCAGCCTTTTCCTCCGAGGTGTTGATTCTCCTCCTTCTCCTTTAATCCCCACAACAACCCTGCGGGGCAGATTAGACTGGGAGGCGGGGATGACTGGCTTCACGGCCGATTGCGGGGATTTGAACCCGGGCCTTGAACCTTGTAACCGCTATGCCAGCCTGGCTGTTGGGAAAGGGGGTCCTGAGTGATGCAGCCCTTCCACCCAGGACACCAGCTAGACGGGTCCAGCCTCTCTCTCTTTCCTTGACTCCGGGTTTCTTCTCTCCCCCATGGCAGCCTGGCAGAAAGCAGCAGCAGCAGCCTCTCCCAGCTGAAGCATCGGAACCAGGTAAGGACAGATGAACGGAGGGAGGGGGCGTGCATGTCTCCCCCTGTGCCTGCTTTCCATTCAGAAAATTTCGGGCGCTCTTCACGGGGCTTCAGAATGAAGGCTCCCAGCCAGACAGGAGGGCTGGTCTTCTGCTGTGTAACTAGAGCCACATCGCTCAGGTGTCTTCCCCTCCCTTTGTGTAATGACATGAGCAGAGCCTGCTGGGATCAGGCCAGCCGTCTGCCTAGTAGTCCAGCATCCTGTTCTCACAGTGGCCAATTGCCCCTAAGGACCTAGGACTCCAGATAGACTGCCACCGGACCTGGAGGTTCCATAAGAAAAGCTGTGCTGCTGGATCAGGCCAAAGGTCTAGCCCAGCACCCTCTTCCACAGAGGCCAACCAGGTGTGTGGCGTTCCCAAAGCAAGGAAGGATTGGACTCTGATTAATCGAATACACACGAGGCTTGACCAGCGAGACTCTGGGTGGAGTGTGTATAATAATAATTCCTTCTCCACCCTACGGCCCAGGTCGTTTTATTCACAAAAGAACTTTTTACACAGTGTTCGTAAGAACCAATCAGATTTCCCCTGAGCGTTTCAAAAAACCCCAGTGGGACAAAGTTAAAGATTAAAACTACAAAGAGCTGATTTGAGCATGCATAGTAAGGTAAAGGTAAAGGTACCCTGCCCGTACGGGCCAGTCGTGTCCGACTCTAGGGTTGTGCGCCCATCTCACTTAAGAGGCCGGGGGCCAGTGCTGTCCGGAGACACTTCCGGGTCACGTGGCCAGTGTGACTAAGCGGCATCTGGTGAGCCAGCACAGCACACGGAAACGCCGTTTACCTTCCCGCTATAAAGCGGTACCTATTTATCTACTTGCACTTAGGGGTGCTTTCGAACTGCTAGGTGGGCAGGAGCTGGGATCGAAAGATGGGAGCTCATCCCGCCGCGGGAATTCGAACCGCCGACCATGCGATCGGCAAGCCCTAGGCGCTGAGGTTTTACCCACAGCGCCACCCGCGTCCCAATATGCATAGTAGTTCAGAGTAAATAAAATAGGAAACAAGGAGGAATGTTTTTAGGAAACTCCGGAGGTCATAAACAGGAGAGGCAGTATTCGCCATCTCCTTGTGAGCTCTCTTCCTGGCCCTTAAGATCTATCTAAAGATTAAACTACATCAAAGTAACCTACTATCTTCATGTACTGAGGTTGCCTGATGAAGCAACTGGCCTGTGTTTCAGAATGCTTAGACGTGCCTGTCAGCAAATGGCAGAGGTGAAGAGGCTTGTGGGATTCGATCAGAAACGATTGTCAATGAATCAAACCCAGTCAACGCAATGCTTTCATAGCGGACACAATGGCTTGATGCATATTTCATAATTCCTCATAGTAATCCCACCTGATCCCCCACACTCTGGATATCTGCACTCCTACATTGGTGCCTGCTGGAAACGTGCAAGGAGGATCCGAGTTCAAGAGCCCTTTCCCCTCCTGGGGTTTCCAGAAACTGGCATTCAGAAGCATTGCCACCTCCAGCTGTGGAGGCAAACCATAGCCATGGAGGCTAGAAGACATGGGTAGCCCTCTCCTCCTCCATGAATTGGTCTCATCCTCTTTTAAAGGCATCCAACTTGGTGGCCAGCCCTGCCTCCTGTGGCAGGGAGTTCTGCAGTTTAACGATGCGCTGCATGAAGAAGGCTTGGTTCTATCTGTCCTGAATCCAAGTAACAGTGCCCCCTTTCCCCATCCCCACCCCAATCTCTCTTTTAGGGACCAGAGCAGCTGTCCGGCTCCCCCAGGCAAGCTCTGCACTCTGCAGGTGAGTACCTCCTAATATCTGGAGGGGCGGGCACGGGTGAGTCTCCTGGCAAGCAGAGGGGAAGCTTTTATTTATTATTTCATAAAACCTGGTAAGAAGCAAAAGCCTCAAAGTGGTTTGCAGGGGAAAACCAACAGCCGTAATTCAAGTTAAAATAAAAGGTAAAGGTACCCCTGCCCGTACGGGCCAGTCTTGACAGACTCTAGGGTTGTGCGCCCATCTCACTCTATAGGCCGGGGGCCAGCGCTGTCCGGAGACACTTCCGGGTCACGTGGCCAGCGTGACATCGCTGCTCTGGCGAGCCAGAGCCACACACGGAAACGCCGTTTACCTTCCCGCTGGTAAGCGGTTCCTATTTATCTACTTGCACCCGGGAGTGCTTTCGAACTGCTAGGTTGGCAGGCGCTGGGACCGAGCAACGGGAGCGCACCCCGCAGCGGGGATTCGAACCGCCGACCTTTCGATCGGCAAGCCCTAGGCGTTGAGGCTTTTACCCACAGCGCCACCCGCGTCCCTCCCCAAGTTAAAATAGCGATAGACTAAAAACAAATTGAAACTCGCGTTGACTTTCTTAGCATCTGGGAAGGCTTCTCTAAACTCCAGGGGTGGATTTTGGGCTTTCGGATTTCAGAGTCACCCCGTGTGACACCCTGCCTCTCGCCTTCCGTTCCACATCATGGTTGTTGCATGCACCAGACAAGGCTTTGCTCCAGTCAGCAATCGGGCTGCAGCATTCTGCACTGACGGCCGCCTCTGGTTCAGGTGTGAGGGAAGCCCCACGTTGAGGGATGCCTTGAGGCCTCCTTTCCTCGGGTGCTCAGAGCCTGCTAAGCGGGGGGGGGGGGGGGTCCCTAGCAGGCAGTTTGCAGGACTAGTGCAGGATTGAGGTTGGGGAGGGCAATACAAAGTCCACACAGGAATACAAATAAGACTGTTTTTTCCATCCCACTTGCGGAGCGACTCGGAGGTGAATGAAAAGGAAAATGAGTAATGACAAGGATTGAGAAGAGGGGACTGAAAATGTCATTCTTAATATGAGAGCAGCAGAAATATTCGAGGATTGGACTCCTGCAGATCAAAAAGCATGGGTACCCCCCACAAAAATTTATAATTTGGAAAACAATTGGATTATATGATATGTATTCCTATAATTTGGATTGGTTGGTTTGATGTGTTTAATTTGGTAATATGAAAACTTAATAAAAATTATTTTTTTTAAAAAAAGAGGTTGGGGAGGCAGGAATCCGATGGTCTCCTCTGAGGAGTCAAGGGGTCCATTTGCTCCCTGCCATCTCCTCCAGCGCAAACCCCCAGCTCAGCGCCGTCTTCCTCGTCCTCTCCCTCCTTTGCAGATCCCGTTCACCCGGCCTACCCTTCGTCCCGGGAGCCTGGCTCCGTGCAGAAGCCTTCCAGCTTCCTTTTCCGCTCCTCCTCACGGAACAACATGCAGCGAGGCTCCGGTGAGTAGGGAGAAGCCTCTGTAGGGACTCGCCCCCTCCGTCGGGCAGCGGGGCTACTGGGCCCTCTGCGGCCACGCATCTCGCCCCAAAGGGTGCGGCCTCCTGACGCAGCTAGACCAGCTTGGGATCGGGGCCAGTGCAGGCTCCCAGAGGCCCCCCTCCATCAACATGGCCCAAGGCAGGTTCACAACCCCACAGCATCAATTCTCGCCAGCGAAATGGGGCTGTGGCAGACCGTGAGGTGCCCTTGTTTCGTTGGTTATCTCCCACTTGGACTACTGCCCTGCGCTCTACGTGAGGCTACCTTTGAAGGTGACCTGGAAACTGCAATAAATCCAGAATGTGGCAGCTAGACTGGGGACTGGGAGCGGCCGCTGAGACCATATAACACCGGTCTTGAAAGACCTACACTGGCTCCCAGTACGTTTCCGAGCACAATTCAAAGTGTTGGTGCTGACTTTTAAAGCCCTAAACGGCCTCAAAGGCCCAGTAGACCTGGAGGAGCGTCTCCACCCCCATCGTTCTGCCCGGACACTGAGGTCCAGCTCCGAGGGCCTTCTGGTGGTTCCCTCGCTGCAAGAAGTGAAGTTACAAGGAAGCAGGCAGAGGGCCTTCTCGGTGGTGGCGCCCGCTCTGTGGAACGCCCTCCCACCAGATGTCAAAGAGAAAAACAACTACCAGACTTTTAGAAGACATCTGAAGGCAGCCCTGTTAAGGGAAGCTTTTAATGTTTAATAGGTTAGTGTATTTTAGTGTTTTGTTGGAAGCTGCCCAGATGGGCGAGGTATAAATAATAAATTATTATTATTATTATTATTATTATTATTATTATTATTATTATTTGGAGTGAAGGGCACCCAGGTTTATTACAGTTTACGTGTTTCATTTCCACCCCACCTTTTCCTCTGAGGAGCTCAAGGTGGCACACCTTGTGTCCGTCCCCCCAATTTTTATCCCCTATGGGGGAGGCGAGGCTGAGAGGCAGTGACTGGCTCCCCGAGGTCACGCCCAGTGAGTGTCACAGCCCAGTGGGAGCATTTGAACCCAGGTCCTGATTGAGCCCTCTTAATCACTGCACCATGCTGGCTCTCCTGCTTCTGGTACCCTTCTGCCTGCTTTGGAGTCACACCCACATCCATCCAGCCCTCCAGGCCCCCCCCCATTAATTTCAGGAGGGCAGAAACTGCGAGGGGCACGATGTGGATGTAACTTGCGCCCTTCTGCACGGCAAGACCTGGTGCTCTTCCCAGGCCTCTGAATGAGGAACTGGTGGCTTTGAGCTTTCCCCCCTCTTTCCTCCCCAGGTTCCTTCTCGCCCGACCTCTCCCCTTCTGAGCTCAGGAACCAGCGGAGGCTGCGTGCCGGATCGCAGGCCCAGGACGAGAGGGAGCATGCGGCTCAGCTGCGCAAGGTACAGACCCCCAAAAACCAGGAGGAAGCAGCTTCCAAGGGGGTGCATCTCTTGGCGCCTGAACTGTAAACAAAACCTCGCATTGGGAGTGTGATGGGCTCAACAGGTATACCGCCCCGTACCCAGAGCTCCCAGGGCGGCTCACAACACAGGAGCGCAATAAAAAAGGGAAATGCAGAATAAAAATAGAAGCAAATACAGTGGTAACTCTGCTTGCGAACGGGATCTGTTCCGGAGGCCCGTTTGCAACATGAAAAGAGCACAACCCGAAGCGCCATATCTGCGCGGGTGTGTGGCACAATTCGGCGCTTCTGTGCATGTGTGAAGCGCGATTTAGCGCTTCTGCGCATGCATGAGCGGCGAAACCCGGAAGTAACCCTTTCTGGTACTTCCGGGTCGCAGCAGGACGTTAACATGAGGTATGACTGTACGTTCCTATGCCGCTTTATATTCTTGAGGAAGAAAATGTCCAAGCGATTTAAAACCTTTGTTGACACATCAGGCGAAAAATTCAGAAATATAGGCAGCAATCATTTGAGGCGCGTTCGAATCGTGCCCAACTCAGGAGTGGGCAGAAAGCATCTCTAGAAGGGGTGGCGCAGGGTGTTGGCTTTCTCGGCGGTGATTCAAAGACACGTGATTTCACCGAAACGCAAGGTGCCTTGGGGCGTTACCCCCGTGTCGGTGGGGTAAAGGGTAAAGGGACCCCCGACCATTAGGTCCAGTCGTGACTGACTCTGGGGTTGCGGCGCTCATCTCGCTTTCTTGGCCGAGGGAGCCGGCGTACAGCTTCTGGGTCATGTGGCCAGCAGGACTAAGCCGCTTCTGGCGAACCAGAACGAAAATGCTGTTTACCTTCCCTCCAGAGCGGTACCTATTTATCTACTTGCACTTTGACATGCTTTCGAACTGCTAGGTTGGCAGGAGCAGGGACCGAGCAACGGGAGCTCACCCCGTCATTGCGGGGATTCGAACCGCCAACCTTCTGATCGGTAAGCCCAAGAGGCTCTGTGGTTTAACCCACAGCACCACCTGCATCCCCGTGTCGGTGGGGAGCTGCCTGTAAAAACATTGCAGAAGGCGCTGAAGATGGAGTAAGCGGGGATGGCTTGAGGGGGCAGCAACGGAGGGACGTTGCGGGTCTGCTCTGACCTCCGAGTCCCAGAAGGACCGGCAGGAGGCGAGAGGGATCCGCTTGCGCTGGGATCCTGCTCGTGGCTTCCCCATTGAGGCCTCTGGTTGGCCACTGTGAAAACAGGAGGCTGGACTCCCATGAGCCCCCAGGGGCCTGATCCGGCCGGCTCTCCTTACGTTCTGCCGTTCTTCAGACGCTGAGCCTGACCCAGCAGGGCCCTTTGTAAGTTCTTACTCTCTCCCGGTAAAAGATGGCCAGCATTAGTGGCGCACAGCTCCAGCGGATGCTGAGAGGTGGATGTCCAGTGAGCCCTCGATCCCCGGCCTGACTGCTCCTCCTTCTCCCCTTCTTCCCCGCAGGCCATCGAGTCCCAGCTGAACGTCACCCTGGCCGAAGACCTGGGCGAGGCGCTGGCCAACGGGGTGGTCCTTTGCCAGCTGGTCAATCACCTGCGCCCTCGAGCCGTGCCCTTCATCCACGTGCCCTCCCCGGCTGTGGTGAGCCTTTGGGGTCGGGGAGCCTGCCGGACCCCCAAGTCCACAAGAATCAGGGGCTCCCAAGCTGCCCCCTTGGACCCATAAACTCTTTTTTTATATAAATTTATTTGGTTTTGCAAATTAAGAGGTTTCCAATCGCACATCCAGCATACAACATAAAAACAAGCGTCTCCTGGACTTCTTCTGGGAAGCTTTTAATGTTTAATAGGTTACTGTATTTTGTTGGAAGCCGCCCAGAGTGGCTGGGGAAACCCAGCCAGATGGGCGGGGTATAAATAAATTATTATTATTATTATTATTATTATTATTATTCCCTCCTCCCCTTTATGAGTCCTATTGTTAAGCATTTCCTCCTACATCTTTCATAATACAGTGGTAACCTCGCAAGACGAATGCCTCACAAGACAAAAAACTCGCAAGACGAAAGGGTTTTTGGTTTTTTGAGCTGCTTCGCAAGACGATTTTCCCTATGGGCTTGCTTCGCAAGACGGAAACGTCTTGCAAGTTCGTTTCCTTTTTCTTAACACCGTTAATACAGCTGCGACTTGACTTCGAGGAGCAACTCATAGAACGCGGTGTGGTAGCCTTTTTTGAGGTTTTTAAACACTTTGGTGATTTTTGAAGCTTTTCCCAAAACTTTCCCGACACCGTGCTTCGCAAGACGAAAAAAATCGCAAGGCGACAAAACTCGCGGAACAAATTAATTTCGTCTTGCGAGGCACCACTGTAATACAAATCTCTCACATCTCCCTTATATCCAAAATTCACCATGAAACTACAAGGGTTATTCCAGTCCTACTAATGATGTTTACAATGGTCTTTAAGATAAGTTATAAATTTTCCCCATTATTAACATTTTGTGTTCCTGATGGCAAAAATGGCCAGAAGAATCAGAAATCAGGAAGACCTTGGACACATAAACATCATCATCATCATCATCATCATCATCATAATAAATTTTATACCCCGCCCATCTGGCTGGGTCTCCCCAGCCACTCTGGGCGGCTTCCAACAAAATAACAAAAACAATACAGCATCAGACATTAAAAACTTCCCTAAACAGAGCCACCTTCAGGTGTCTTTTAAAAGTAAAATAGTTGCTTATTGCCTTGACATCTGCTGGGAGGGTGTTCCACAGGGCAGGCGCCACCACCAAGAAGGCCCTCTGCCTGGTTCCCTCCCCTACGAAGGACATAATTCAGAATAGCGGTTTTGTTTCTACGACCCGCTAATAACAATAGAATTCAAAACGGTAGCAGTTGCTGCTGATTCAAAATTCGGTTTAAGCTACTTAAGTTTGATCGGTTCAACAAAACGAATGGGCACTGGATCCCAGTTCCCTCCTGGCACCCCCCCCCTCGCCTCTGAGCTTCCCCCTAGGTGATGCTCCCGCCCCAGGGGCACCTAGACCAGGTCTGCCCAGCCCGAGGGGGGCGAGAAGCTGCCTTAGGTCATTGCTTCACCCAGCGTAGTACTGCCGGCACTGGCCGGCAGCAGCAGCTGCCCAGGACTTTAGGCAGAGAAGAATCCCCGCCAGCCCAGCCCGGGACCTTCTGCGTGCCAAGCGGGTATCCTTCCCCTTGGGCATTGCTGAGCTGACCACCTCTCTCTCTCCCTCTCGAAACAGCCAAAGCTGAACGCCATCAAAAGCCGGAAGAACGTGGACAGCTTCTTGGCCGCCTGCCGCCAGCTGGGGCTCCCGGAGGTGAGGTTGGGCATCTGCGGGGGTCTTATATGTGTGCTGCTGCTTGCTTGTGCCTGCTGGGGAGGGAGAATTGGGTGGGGGGGACACACAGGAAGACCCTCCTTTGAGAAATGGCCCCCAAGCCCTGTTTTTACACAACACACACACTCTCTTTCCATTCCTGCTCACGCATTGCCCCCACCGACTCCTTCCCCAGTACAACTCAGAACCGTAGAGTTGGAAGGGACCCTCGAGGGTCATCCAGCCCAACCCCCCGGCTCGGGCAGCCCCCCAACCCCTGCTTAAAACACCTTCTAGGGAGCAGAGTCCGCCAGTTTGCGAGGGGGTCCATTCCGCTCTCAAAACAGCTCTTGCCTCCTGAACGTTATTCCTGACGCTTGGCCGGAAATTCCTCCCTTGCCGTTTGAAGCCGTGGGTTCAGGTCCTGCCCTCTGGGGCAGCAGAAAGCCAGCTGGCTCCGTCATCCACAGGATCATAGAATGGTACAGCTGGAAGGGACACCGGGGGGTCATCCATCCCAACCCACTGCAATGCAAGGATCTCACGGTGGCCATTGGGCAAACGAGGCCCGGTTTCCGGTCTGGCTGCCCTTCTCTGCAGACTCTGAGACCCCTCCCTCCCCACCCACAGGCCACCGACCTTCCTCCGTGCCTCTGTGTGCAATGGCAGAGCTGGAAGGGACACAGGGGGGTCATCCATCCCAACCCACTGCAATGCAGGGATCTCACGGTGGCCGCTGGGCAAACGAGGCCCGGTTTCCAGTCTGGCTGCCCTTCTCTGCAGGCTGTGACCCCCCCTCCCTCCCCACCCGCAGGCCGCTGACCTTCCTCTGTGTGCTATCGGTGTGTTTTTTGTGTGTGTTCTGTGTTCCCTTTGCCACAGGTCTCTCTCTGCTCCGCCTCCGACGTGGCCGCCCTCCTGCAAGGCAACGTCCGCGGCTTGCTCCGCCTCCTCGAGGCCCTGCTGCCCCTGCCATCATCGCCGCCGCCTGCGCCCCCCGGGGGGGGCAGGCCCCTCGCCCCGCCCGCCCTCTCCGAACACCTCGCTGGCTTTGGCGTCTTCTATGTCGTCCTCATGCTCCTCCTCTACTTCGCCTATCGCAACCTCTGCGGCTGCTGAGCGGGCAGGGGGGGTCCCCGGCCACCCCCACCGGGCAGGAACAGGTTCTCCAGGGCAGACGTGGGTCAGGGCGTGTGCCCCACACTCCCCAGGCTGCGTGGAAGTCAGGGTGTCAGCAGTGCAGTCGAAGCGGGACACAGACAAATACCATTTTTCCCGAGGCCAGCGATCCCTGCAATTCCCCCCTTTAATAATAATAATAATAATAATAATAATAATAATAATAATAGCTATCCCTTCCCCAGTCATAATTAGCTCCCTCTGCCAGGCCCAAGGGGCAGGGGGGAGTGCAGGGCAGCCCTCCCTTGGCACCTGCCGTTCGGTCTCCTCTGTGCCTTGCTCCCCTAGCGAATGGTGTTTTGGGGGCCGTATTTTGGCCGGGGGGAGAAGCCGCCAACTTCCTCCACCCCTCGGTTCACATGCACTTAAAACTGCGTTGCACTAATTCACGAGTGCCTGCAGGGGGGAGTTGGGGGCGTGCGGCAAGGGAGCACTAGCAGCCCCCCCCAAAAAAATTTGGCAGTCCTAAAGCCTTGGCCCACCCACTCCGACACTGTGGGGTCTTCGCTGCCCCTGACCTCACACACACAGCGCGTCTCTGAACCGAATGTCACCCCCTACCCCAGATTTTGTGCCCGCTCCCCTGCGCTGGCAAACCTTTGAGGGGCTCGGCTGTTTGGCACCCCAAAGTGTGCCCTGGGGCACCTCGGTTTGTGGGCTAAAGGCCACTTCTTCCTGAAATGCCCTTGCCCCCCCGAAGCCTTTCGGGGTTCCCTGTTCTGGACCTCTTCCCTTTTGGGGCTTCTCGGGGGCACCCGACGCTGGACTCGAACTGCTCCCCTTCCTTTAATCCAAACGTGCAATTTCTGAAGGTCCACGGAGGGAGGGAGAGATGGGGGCCTTGCCGTGTTCCAGCCCACCCCATAATCTCTCTGGCACGGTGCACCCCCCAAGTCCGGGGTGGCGTTGGCGGGGGGGAGGCCTTCAACAGGTGACAGGAATCGCCTTAATTCAGGGCAAAAGCGGCTCCTCTTTCTAGGGACGCCTGCAGTCAAATTCCAGCCCCTTCTAGTCTCGCTCCCCATCTCCGCTGCCTTAAATATATTAAATTATACATATATATTTTATATAAATATATAAATATATATATATATATTTGAAGAGAAGATGATTATGGAATACTGTAATGTAAAGGAAAAAGGTTTTTTTTGGTCTTTTTAAGCATGTACAGAATTGTAAATACGTGGTGCTCTCCATCGATCGCCTGCCCCCCTCTCTTGAGCAGGGGGGGGGGCCAAAAATCTTTTTCAAGGGCTTTGGGGTTGTTGTTTTCCCTCCCCCTTTTCACGGTCCCCCCACACCCCACCAAAAAAAAGGACTGCTGTACATTCTGCGTTTTCGTTCCTCTTGCTTTTTTTGTTCCTTCTCGAGAGGCGGCTCCGGTGTTTTCTGTTTTGTTCCTCCTCGCCTCGACTCCTGTACATTGTAAAATACCAAGAAATGAATTCTTCTTTTTTTTCCAAACGATGGCGGCAGCAGCAGCCTTTGTTTCTTCCTTCTGCCTCCTTCGTCTTCTCGGTTGTCTTTGTATTTTTTCCTTCCTGTAACCGCTGGTGGGGTGGGAGCAAGTTTGCTTTTGCAATCTGTGTTACAGGGTAGGTGTGGGTTGTGGTCTGACGGTCAGAGCTTGCTGGTGGGAGTTGTAGTTCAGCGGGGGGGGGGTGTCCCAAAGCCTCCCTCCCTCCACCCACTCTGCAGAACCCATCCTGACCTTGAATATGCGCATATACCGTATTTTTCGCTCTATAGGACGCACTTTTTCCCCTCCAAAAATTAAGGGGAAATGTGTGTGCGTCCTATGGAGCGAATGCAGGCTCCTTGGCTTCAGCAATAGCAACACGAAGCCTCCGAAGCGCAGAGGGAGCGCTCCCTCCACGCTCCGGAGACTTCACATTGCTTTCGCTGAAGCCTGGAGAGCGAGAGGCGTCGGTGCACACCAACCCCTCTCGCACTCCAGGCTTCAGGGATAGCTGCCTGAAGCCTTCAGAGCGCAGCGCGAATTCCCGCTGCGTTCTGGAGGCTTCAGGTTCCTTTCGCTGAAGCCGGGAGAGTCTTGCTCTCCCGACTTCAGCAAAAGGAACCCGAAGCCTGAGGAGCACAGCGGGAACTTGCGCTGCGCTCGGAAGGCTTCAGGGATAGCCACGCGAAGCCCCTCCGGCAGGGAAAGGCGGCAGGGAGAGACTGCATGCGGCTATGGCTTCTTTAGTCCCGCGCAGCCTCTCCCTGCTGGAGGGCTTGTGCCATAGCCGCGTGCAACCCCTCCGGCAGGGAGAGGCTGCGCGCAGCTAAAGAGGAAGCCAAAAAGGCGAGCAGGATCCATCCCGCTCGCTGTCTTGGCTTCTTTGCTCTTTGGGGCTGGGGGGGGGGGACCCAGGCAGCCCCAGCAGCTCTGGGAGAAGCGGACAGGCTGCGCGCATAAGATTTTTTTTCTTGATTTCCCCCTCTAAAAACTAGGTGCGCCCTATGGTCCGGTGCGCCATATGGAGCGAAAAATGCGGTACACCTTTTCCCGCCTGCAGCGCAGGCAAACTTTTCCACCGGCTCCAGCTGGGAAGGCCATCTCAGTCAGCGGCTCCTGGCCAGGCCGTTCTCATTTGGCTTGCCCTACTGAGAGAAGCGCCCCCTGCCTCCCTCCCCTGCTAACTTCTGCCCCCCCTCCCGTGCCCCCCGCCCCCCCCTCAGGAGTCTCTCTGCTCCCCCCACCACGTGCTGGAAGAGGAGGGTCTGCCCCGCGTGGCCGAGATGGTTCGGACTCTGCTGGCAACACGCTGCGCTGCCCCACCTCTGGGGCGCCAGAAGACCTAGGCGGACCGGACAGGGTGGCCTAGGCGGACCGGACAGCAGGGGCTGCGCCGAGCCGAAACCTTCGCAGGGCGGCGGTGCAGAGCCGTCATCGCTCAGGGATCTTCGTCGGGACCAAGCAAGAGGAGCCGGGCGCTTTGCCCACAGGGAAACAAACTTCTAAAGGGGCGAAAGGGCAAGACCCCTTTGTCAATGGCTCTCCTCCCGTGGATGGGAAGCTTCTCTCCAGATTTAACAAGAACATTTGTGTGTGGGTTTTTTGCATTTGTGCACATGTCAATGAGGTTGCATTTAAATAAGCAGCTGCCTCAGTTGCGTTGTCCATTAGCAAAGCCTGTTCTATCGCCCTGGGATTATAAAATACGGGGCAGAGAGGCCTGACCTCTTCTTGAAAACTTCCAGCCACTCTCGGCGCCCAGCCCTCCTTCAGCCCAGGTTTGTTTCCTTCCACAGAAAAAGAACTGTGGAGTTGGAAGGGACCCCCCAAAGGTCATCCAGACCAACCCGCTGCAATGCGGGAGTCCCAACTGCAGCATCCTTGACAGGTGGCCGCCCAACCTCTGCTTAAAAACCTCCAAGGGCCCCCCCCAGCGCCCAAGGGAGTCCTTGCGTGGTGTGACCTCCGGCGCTTCTCCGCAGGGCTCTTTCTGTTCCATCTCCAAAGATCCAAACCTCTGAGCTGCTGCATGTCTGAATGGGCAATTGCATGTCAGCCCGGAGAACACCCAGGTCAGATTGGAGGGTGGGATGGGGTGGAAGCTTTCCTTCTAAGGACAACGGCAGGTTCGCTGACATCTGGAGGAGCTCGGCATCAGAGCAGGAGAAGCGCTCTGCCGGATGAGGCCAAGGGGGCCCCTCATGAAGACCCCCATCCTCTTCTCACAAGGGCCACTGGCGCATAAGAGCCACCCTCTCTCCCGGCGCTTCCTTCCCAGCATGGCTGCCGTGTTTGTAGGTGTGGGTGGGAACTGTAGTTTAGCCTAGGCGCCCAAGGTTCCTCACTCCCTGCAGGAGAAGAGCCCACCGCTGCACCCGGATCAGCCCAAATGCCCGCCTGGGACCCAGCACTGAACAGGGGTTGAGCAAATACCCCAAAGGAAAGCCCCCCCCCCGCCATCTTCCACAGGGGAACTCGCTCGGTGGGGTCGACTGGAGTAAAAGTACACAGCCCTGCAAGCGAGGGGGGTTTTCTTTGTGGGTGGCGGGGCTTCAGGGGGGCTGCCTTTAGCAGATACAGCCCTCCTCATGGGCACTCGTGGCACACGTCCCCTCTGCTAGGTCTCAGCCCCCCCATGGCAGTCGTGGGTTCTGTGCAGCTTTGGGGGAAGCGGTTTTGCTGCAGCCCAGACTAGGGCAGTGCCTGAAATGCACTAGCCGGCCTTCCCCGGCTTGGTGCCCTCCCAGGTGCCCCAGGGAGAGCATGGCAGCGGGCACAAGGGGGATGTGGTCCACCCCCATCACACAAGGCTACTCCTAAGCACAAGAAGAGGGGGAAGGGGGCCTGTTGAGTCCAGCCTCCTGGTCTCCCCCACGGCCAGAGTCCCTCTCCCCTCCTGTGGTTTCCAGCACCTGGGATTCGGGAGCATCGCTGGCCATCTTCTCCACGAATGCGTCCTAGCGTCATACGAGTTGGAGGGGACCCCCCAAGGTCATCTAGTCCAACCCCCTGCAAGGCAGAGATGATTTTTTTTTACCCAATGTGGGGCTCGAACCATGGGTGTCAACCTTCCCCTTTTTTTGCGGAAATCCCCTTATTCCAGCGCCTTTCCCGCTGCTATCCCAGATTGTTGTTGAGTCATTTAGTCGCGTCCGCCTCTTCGTGTCCCCCTGGACCAGAGCACGCCAGGCACCTCCTGTCTTCCACTGCCTCCCGCAGTTTGGTCAACTCATGCTTGTCCCTTCGAGAACACTGTCCCACCATCTCGTCCTCTGTCGCCCCCTTCTCTTTGTGCCCTCCATCTTTCCCAGCATCAGGGTCTTTTCCAGGGAGTCTTCTCTTCTCATGAGGTGGCCAAAGTCTTGGAGCCTCAGCTTCAGGATCTGTCCTTCCAGTGAGCACTCAGGGCTGATTTCCTTCAGAACGGAGAGGTTTGATCTTCTTGCAGTCCATGGGACTCTCAAGAGTCTCCTCCAGCACCAGAATTCAAAAGCACCAATTCTTCAGCCTTCTTGATGGTCCAGCTCTCACTTCCATACATCACTACTGGGAAAACCAGAGCTTTAACTAGACGGACCTTTGTTGGCAAGGTGATGAGGCTGCTGTTCCCTTATTTTCAAATCTGAAAGTTGACAGCTACGGCTCGAACCCACGACAGTGAGATCGAGAGTCTCGCTCCCCCCACTGAGCCATCCTGCCTCGTCCGGCCCCCTTTCAAAGCCGTCCGGGGGGGCGGCTCCTCAGCACCTGCCACTCAGAAGCTTCCCTGCCGCTCCGAGCGAGGCTCGTCGCCCACCCAGGACTCGGAAGCCCCCAAAGAGGGAGGGAGTATCGCTGCCGGGAAACGGGGGCGATTTCTGGGGGGTGGAGTTCTCCCGCTCCCCCCCCCCTGCGAGGAGGGCCGTGGGCTGAGCGGGTGGCTTGGGCCCTGATCTCGCCCTCCTTCCGCGCTCTAACCACTGCGCCACGCTGCCTCTCCCTTTCCCCAATGCAGCCCGGTCGGGGCAGAGACCTCGCCTTCCGAAGGGGCGTGGCTAGCTGGAGACCCCGCCCCCTGCGCACAGGCCGCGCCCACTGAGCCCCACAAGGGATCCTCCCCCCAACAGGTAGAAGTTCGACCGGGAGAGCGGCGGCTTTCCTCCCCCTTTAAGGGCGCCCCGCCCCTTTCCAGACAGCCGCTCCCGAAGGGGCGTGGCTAGCGGAAGACTCCGCCCCTGCGCCTAGGCTGCTCCCCCAACAGGCAGAAGTTCAACCGGTATAGCGGGCGGGGCTTCCTTCCCTTTTAAGAGCCCCGCCCCTTTCACGACAGCCCCTCCCGAAGGGGCGTGGCTAGCGGAAGACCCTGGCCTAGGCCGCCGCCCCCCAACAGGCAGAAGTTCAACCGGGAGAGCGGGGGGGTTTCCTTCCCCTTTAAGAGCCCCTCGCCCCGCCCCTTTCCCGGCAGCGGAAGGGGCGTGGCTAATGTAAGACTCCGCCCCTGCGCCTAGGCCGCTGCCCCCCCCCAAAAAACCAGGCAGAAGTTCAACCGGGAGAGCGGGTGGAGTTTCCTTCCCCTTTAAGACCCCATCGCCCCGCCCCTTTCCTGGAAGCGGAAGGGCGTGGCTAACTGAAGACTCCGCCCCTGCTCCTAGGCCGCTACCCCTCCCTCCCAAAAACCCAGGCAGAAATTCAACCGGGAGAGCGGGCGGGGCTTCCTTCCCCTTTATGAGCTCCTCCCCCCGCCCCTTTCCCGGCAGCCCCTTCCGAAGGGGCGTGGCTAGCGGAAGACTCCGCCCCTGCGCCTAGGCCGCCGCCCCCCAACAGGCAGAAGTTCAACCGGGAGAGCGCGCGGGGTTTCCTTCCCCTTTAAGAGCCCTTCGCCCCGCCCCTTTCCCGTCAGCCCCGCGAGGCGCCGCCGCCGCCCTGACGTCACCGCGCCGTCTCTGGTGGGCGGGGCTTCCCGGCGGGCGGCCAAGATGGCGGAGCTGGACCTGCTGGGCTCCATCCTGAGCTCCATGGAGCCGCCGCCGGCGCTGGGCGACCGGGAGGCCAAGCGGGCCAAGGGTGAGGAAAGCGGCAGGGGGGGGGACCCAGGAGTCCGGGAGGGGGGAGGGAAGCCAGCGCCGGCCCCCCCCCCCCGCGCAGGTAGACTGCGCCGCCCCCTGGAGGCTCCGCCAGAAGAGGCCCAAGGGCGCATGCGCAGCTCCGGGAGGGTGACGTCAAGGTCGTCGCGGGTCAGGCTAGATGACCCTGGAGCCCCTTCCGTCCCTGCAAGGCTCGCTGTCATGGCGGGCTGGGGGCACACGCTCCCAGCTGCCCCCTGGCTTCCCCCCCAGCAGAAGAAGGAGAGCCCTGCAGCCTGATCAGGGACCCCAAAGGGGGAAATGAAAAAGGGGGAAATACATTGGAGATCTTAGGCTTCTCCCTGGCCCCGTTTATCATGTTTCGTTTTGTATTTTAGATATCTTTGTTTCAAATTTATAATAATAATAAACTTTATTTGTACCCCGCCCTCCCCAGCCAAGACTGGGCTCAGGGCAGCTAACACCAAGTATAGAAGCAATTGATTAAAATACAGTGCTACCTCGGGTTACAGACGCTTCAGGTTACAGACACTTGAGGTTACAGACACTGCAGGTTACAGACTCTGCTAACCCAGAAATAGTGCTTCAGGTTAAGAACTTTACTTCAGGATGAGAACAGAAATCGTGCTGCAGCGGCGCAACAGCAGCAGGAAGCCCAATTAGCTAAAGTGGTGCTTCAGGTTCAGAACAGTTTCAGGTTAAGTACGGACCTCCGGAACGAATTAAGTACTTAATCTGTACAACTTAAAAACAAGATTCAAGTACAACATTAACTGAGTCTTGCAAGTGTTTTTGTCCTGTATTTTGAGGTTATAAAGTGTGCTTTGTGGGGAAGAGTTTTGCAGAGTGGATGAGACATTTGGGGTTTGGGAGAAAAGGCAAGCGAGAGGAGACACGACAGGCGTTTAGAAAATTGCCGAGGGGCCTGGAGAAAATGGACAGGGGGAAGGTCTTCTCCCTCTCTGCTAACACAGGAACTCGCGGGCACCCAAGAAAGCTGAATAATGCTGGGAGATTCGAGACAGAGGAAAAGAAATCCATCTTCATGCAGCACAGAGAGACTGTGGAACTCACTCCCTCAGGAGTCAAAGAAGATAATAATAATAATAATTTATTATTTATACCCCGCCCATCTGGCTGAGTTTCCCCAGCCACTCTGGGCTGCTCCCAATCAAGTGTTTAAAACAATATAGCATTAAATATTAAAAACTTCTCTAAACAGGGCTCCCTTCAGATGTCTTCTAAAAGTCAGATAGCTGCTTATTGCCTTGACATCTGGTGGGAGGGTGTTCCACAGGGCAGGTGCCACCACCAAGAAGGCCCTCTGCCTGCTTCCCTGTAACTTGGCTTCTCACAGGGAGGGAACCGCCAGAAGGCCCTCAGAGCTGGACCTCAGTGTCTGGGCTGAACGATGGGGGTGGAGACGCTCCTTCAGGTCTCCTGGACCGAGGCTGTTTAGGGCTTTAAAGGTCAGCACCAACACTTTGAATTGTGCTCGGAAACGTACTGGGAGCCAATGTAGGTCTTTCAAGACCGGTGTTATGTGGTCTCGGCGGCCGCTCCCAGTCACCAGTCTAGCTGCCGCGTTCTGGATTAATTGCAGTTTCCGAGTCACCTTCAAAGGCAGCCCCACATAGAGCACATTGCAGTAGTCCTGGTGGGAGATAACCAGAGCATGCACCACTCTGGCGAGACAGACAGTGGGCAGGGAGGGTCTCATCCTGCGTACCAGATGGAGCTGGCAGACAGCCGCCCTGGACACAGAACTGACCTGCGCCTCCATGGACAGCTGTGAGTCCAGAATGACTCCCAGGCTGCACACCTGGTCCTTCAGGGGCACAGTTGCCCCATTCAGGACCAGGGAGTCCTCCACACCCGCCCATCCCCTGTCCCCCCAGAACAGTAGGAAAGAGGGAGAAGCATCTCAAGGGCTCCTAGTAGCCACAAAGGCTCCATCCTCCCTCCACGGTTGGGGGTAGCATTGCCTATTGGGATTCGCAGGAGGGGGCAGCATGGATTGGTGCCCCCATGCCTTGCTTTGGGGCTTCTACGGTTGAAGCATCTGGTCGGCCGCCGTGAGAGTGGGATACTGGACCAGGTGGGCCTGATCCAGCGGGACTCTCCTCCCCATTTCCTTCTGTAGAACTGAACTCCTTCTGGAGAGCTGGAAGGTCTACGGCTTCTCAGTTAGCAAGCGGCTGGACCAGTGGTTCCCAAACTTTTTTGGGCCATGCCCCACCTAAGCCTCTCTAAAATTCTGATGCCCCCTCCTGTGATATATAATCCTTATTATTCAGAAAGTGAACTGGTATTCACGTGGATGAAGCCTAAAAGGCCATTAATAACTCGTTCTCGAATTGCCCCCCTTAAAAATCAAATTGCCCCACATTGGGAACTGCAAGCCTGAGCGAGTTGGGATCTGGCCCAGAGGCTGCCATGGTATGACAAGGTAAAGGTGCATAAAGGGTTTAAAAACCATATTGTTAGAAAAGCATTATACAATGTTTGGATCCGATATAAAGATTTGTTGGAAAGTAAAACTCCCAGGTGGTTGTCACCAATGGAAGCTAAGGAGGTGAAAAAACTTAACATGGATTCTAAATGGCCAAAATATTGTGAAATTTTAGAACATGATGGTGAAAAGGTTAAACTTCAGAGTTATGAGAAATTAAAGTCCAAAGTTCGAGATTGGTTGCATTACCATCAGATAAATGAGACATTTAAACAGGACAGGAAAATAGGATTTCAGAAGGAGAGGTCAAAACTAGAAATAGAATTGTTAGAACCCAATACTAAGAACCTGTCAAGAATGTATAATTTGCTGTTGAAATGGAATACACAGGATGAAACGGTGAAATCAGCTATGATTAAATGGGCACAAGATATTGGTCATGACATTATGTTTGCAGACTGGGAACAGTTATGGACCACCGGTGTTAAATTTACGGCATGTAATGCCTTAAAAGAAAACATAATGAAAATGATCTACAGGTGGTACATGACCCCAGTCAAGCTTGCAAAAATTCACCATTTGCCCAATAACAAATGTTGGAAATGTAATGAGACTGAAGGTACTTTTTACCACCTTTGGTGGACCTGCCCGAGGATTAAAGCCTTTTGGGAAATGATCTATAATGAAATTAAGAAAGTCCTTAAGTGGACTTTTCCTAAAAAACCTGAGGCTTTTCTCCTGGGCATGGTTGGCCAATTGGTGCCAAAGAAGGACAGGACCTTTTTTATGTACGCTACCACAGCAGCAAGAATTCTTCTGGCAAAGTATTGGAAGATGCAAGAACTACCTACTCTGGAAGAATGGCAGACAAAGGTGACTGACTTTATGGGACTGGCAGAGATGACTGGCAGAATCCGCGACCAGGGGAAAGAGACAGTGGAAGAGGATTGGAAGAAATTTAAAATGTATCTTAAAAACTGTTGTAAAATTGAGGAGTGTTAAGATGTCAAGGGGTAAGAAGTAGAGAATTACAGCTGTAACTAACAAATTAGAGAAAACTCAATGAAAGGGAATTAAACAGATAAATTGACCAAAGGGTTGCTAAAAAATTGTAAAATAAGGATGCAGTGAAAGGGAGGTATGGGGAAGTCGTTATACATGTTTAAATGTTTTGTATGTCTCTGTTTTGTGTTGTGTTTGTTTTTTATTATGTGTTTGAAAAATGAATAAAAATTATTATAAAAAAAAACAGAGGCTGCCGTCTTGGAACCAGGAGCAAGTGATCCCTTTCTGGGATCCCCCAAGCCACTCACACACCCCTTTCTGGGAATGGAGTTGAGAAATGACCTAACCTGGGGAGAAAACAGCAAAGACCTGGTGAAGAGAGCACAGCAGAGGTTATATTTTCTGAGAATCCTGCGGAAAAACAATCTCTCAAAGGACCTGTTGATGGCATTTTACCATTGCACTGTTGGGAGTGTATTAACTTATGGTCTGTGTGTGTGGTTTGGGAGCTGCACAGTCAGGGAAAAAACAATGCTGTCCAGGGTTGTAAAGACTGCGGAGAGAATAACTGGGTGCCCTCTTCCCACCTTGCATCAAATCTATGCTTCCAGGTGCCGTAAGAAAGCGGCAGAGATAGCGCAGGATAGTGCGCACCCCAGAAATGATCTCTTTCAGTTTCTGCCAGGGTTATAAAGACTAGGACTAGCCGCCTGAGAAACAGTTTCTACCCAAATGCGATTTTGCTTTTAAACGCAGTGTAAGGAGTCTCTGTGGGAGTATGGTATATTGTATTTAAAATGGGGTATCAAGAGTTTATAGGGGGCTAATCAGGCTGGGATAGCTGGGATAGCAGGCTTGTTGGGTTTTGAATGTCTTATGTAGATTTTTCAATTTCGTTGTTCTTTATGGGACAATGACAATAAAGATTATCGTATCGTTTCTCTCCTCTCTCCCTTCCCCAGAGCAAACAGCACAGCTGAAGAAGCTTCAAGAGCAAGAGAAGAGGCAGAAAGTCGAGTTCAGGAAGCGGGTGCGTCCTCTGCCCCCCCCCCCCGGGCACAGATCCCCAACTTGCACGCGGGTGGGGACCAGGGACCACCCTGGCTTCCTCTTCGCCTGCTCACAGCTTCCTCTCTCTTCCCCCGCCATACAGATGGAGAAGGAGGTCTCCGATTTCATCCAAGATAGCAGCCAGACCAAGAAGAAGTTCCGGCCCATGAACAAGATTGAGCGCAGTATTCTGTGAGTCCACTGGGGGGGCAGGGAAGGGAAAAGGGGCAGGTGAAATCCAGCCTCCAGGTGAAGCATACCTGACCTTGGCTTGGTTTCCAACTTCAAGACGGCCTGAACAGATTGGAGAACTGGGTGAATTGCGAATTTTTATTATGACGGTCACAGACCAGTATCCGGCTCACTTACACTATCAGGAAAATCATAAAACACAACAGGAATGCATTGAATTGCAATTGGGTATAAACAGAGACAATTCAGATATAGCGGCAATTAAAAATATCTTGATCACTAAAATATAACCTAAAATTTAAAACCTTAATCGTTTTAGTAGTACAGCTTGTTCCCTAAGTTTTATGGCAGTCGCACAGAATTTAGCCACCTGAGCGTGATCTCTAGAATGATCCTTGTCCTCTACCAGGAGTTTTAGACATTGAAGTTCGGACCCATTTGGAGATTTTGGTATAACGGGAGTGATAAATACCGAGCGTATATCCCCGTAGAAACGGCAGCGTAACAAGACATGAGAGACAGTTTCTACCTCCATCAAGTCGCAGGGGCAGACTCGTTCCACGTATGGTTTACCCTCGAATCTGCCTGAACTGGGTGCAAGCTAGCAAAATGAATTTAAATAGGGGCAAATGTAAGGTTCTGCACTTAGGCAGGAAGAACAATGCAGAAATACAGGATTGGGGGGGGGCACCTGGCTTACTAGCAGTACATGTGAAAAGGATCTGGGGGTCTTGGTGGACCACAAGCTGAATGTGAGCCCACAGTGTGATGCAGCAGCAAAAAAAGCTAATGCCGTTCTGGGCTGCATCAACTAGAAGTCTAGTGTCCAGATCAAGGGAAATCATATTACTCCTCTCTGTTGCCTTGGTCAGGCCGCACCTGGAATCCTATGTCCAATTCTGGGCAGCACAATTTAAGACGGATGTTGAGAAGCTGAATGTTTGCAGAGGAGGTTGGAGCAAGAGGTTCAAGGGTCTGGAAACCAAGCCTTGTGAGGAACAGTTGAAGGAGTTGGGGGTGTTTAGCCTGGAGAAGGACAGGAGATACGATGGCCATTTTCAAGTATCTCAAGGGCATTCGCAAGGAAGATGGAGCAAGCTTGTTTTCTCCTACTCTGGAGAATACGACTTGAACCCGTGGCTTCAAGTGACGCTGAGGTCCAGCGCTGAGGGCCTTCTGATGGTTCCCTCATTGTGAGAAGCAAAGCTACAGGGAACCAGGCAGAGGGCCTTCTCGGTGGTGGCGCCCGCCCTGTGGAACGCCCTCCCACCAGATGTCAAAGAGATAAGCAACTACCAGACTTTTAGAAGACCTCTGAAGGCAGCCCTGTTTAGGGAAGCTTTTAATGTTTAATAGGTTATTGTATTTTCATATTCTGTTGGAAGCCACCCAGAGTGGCTGGGGAAACCCAGCCAGGTGGGCGGGGTACAAATAATAAATTATTATTATTATTAATAATAAGAAAGGCGATTCTGACTAAACACCAGGAAAAACTTTTCTGAGTGGAAGAGCCCTTTGACAGCGGAAGAGGCTTTCTCAGAAGGTGTTGACCTCCCCTTTGTTGGAGGCTTTTAAATAGAGGGAAGATTGCCCTTCGTCCGGGACGCTTTATTTGTGATTCCTGCATTGCAGGGGGTTGGACTAGATGACCCTCTGCGCCCCTCCCAACGGTGAAATTCTCTGATTCCCATTCCAGGCACGACGTGGTGGAAGTCGCAGGCCTCACCTCCTTCTCCTTTGGTGACGAGGAGGAGTCCCGATACGTCATGATTTTCAAGAAGGCAAGTGGGAGATCCGCCGCTCTCCCCCTTTCACCCTGTTGGGGGTCGCTCCCCATTCCTCCTCTCCGCCCCCTGGAGAACCCGTGTTCCCGTTCTGACTGCCCTGCCCGCCTCTCTTACAGGAATTCGCCCCCTCGGACGAAGAGCTGGACGCCTACCGCCGGGGGGAGGAGTGGGACCCCCAGCAGGCCGAGGAGAAACGCCGGCTGAAGGTGGGCAGCTTTCCTCTAGGGGGGCAGGGTTGGGGCTGTTGGGCAAGGATTGCAGTGCCACCCTCGGAGGAGACGCCACCCCGGGGTGCTCCTCGAGGGATTTGCAAACTGCGGAACCAGAGATCGACACCCCAGCACATAAGAACATTAGAAACTTGGATTTGGAGGCAGCTATGCTTCAAATCTAATCTATGGTTCGAATCCCCGCGGCGGGGTGCGCTCCCGTTGTTCGGTCCCAGTGCCTGCCAACCTAGCAGTTCAAAAGCACCCCCAGGTGCAAGTAGATAAATAGGGACCGCTTACTGGCGGGAAGGTAAACGGCGTTCCGTGTGCTGCGCTGGCTCGCCAGATGCAGCTTGTCACGCTGGCCACGTGACCCGGAAGTGTCTGCAGACAGCGCTGGCTCCCGGCCTATACAGTGAGATGGGTGCACAACCCTAGAGTCTGTGAAGACTGGCCCGTATGGGCAGGGGTACCTTTACCTTTACCTTATGCTTCTAAATAGGGACGTGGGTGGTGCTGTGGGTTAAACCACAGAACCTTGGGCTTGCCGATCGGAAGGTCGGCGGTTCGAATCCCCGCAATGACGGGGTGAACTCCCGTTGCTTGTTCTCTGCTCCTGCCAACCTAGCAGTTCGAAAGCACATCAAAGTGCAAGTAGATCAATAGGTACCACTCTGGCGGGAAGGTAAATGGCGTTTCCGTGCGCTGCTCTGGTTCACCAGAAGTGGCTTAGTCCTGCTGGCCACATGACCCGGAAGCTGTACACCGGCTCCCTCGGCCAATAAAGCGAGATGAGCGCCCCAACCCCAGAGTCGGCCACGACTGGACCTAACGGTCAGGGGTCCCTTGACCTTTACCTCTGTCTCTCACCCCTTCATGGCTTCTTCCCCGCAGGAACTGGCTCAGCGGCAGGCGGAAGAGGAAGCCCTGAAAGGCCCCACGGTGGTGAACCCCAACACTGACTACAAGGACAAGTACAGCCACCTGATTGGGAAGGTGGCTGCCAAGGACGCCGCGCACACCATGGAGGCCAACAAGGCCTACGGCTGCGGTGAGTCGGCCGGGGGTGGTTGGCTCCCCCAGACCCGGAGGGACATCCGCAGTAAGCAGCCTGGACTGGCCCCTTGCCCTTCCAGGGCACTCCCAGCTGTGCGCAGGGTGATATCCCTCAAGAATCCTTAGGTCCACGGCACCCGCGGGAAGCAATCCCCGGCTGCCCCCCAGTGTTTTAGAGCACGGGTTCCTTCTTTCTTGCTCCAGTGTGGTTTTCTCTGAATCATTGAGTTGGAAGGGACCCCAAGGGTCATCGAGTCCAGCCCCCTTGAAGGCAGTTGTCCTGTAAGGGGGTCCAAGATGCAAGGTCCAATATCCTTCAGTAGGCCTGAAGGAGCGTCTCCACCCCCATCGTTCTGCCCGGACACTGAGGTCCAGCTCCGAGGGCCTTCTGGCGGTTCCCTCCCCGCGAGAAGCCAAGTTACAGGGAACCAGGCAGAGGGCCTTCTCTGTGGTGGCGCCCCCCTGTGGAAAACCCTCCCTTCAGATGTGAAGGAAATAAGCAGCTATCCTATCTTTAAAAGACATCTGAAGGCAGCCCTGTTTAGGGAAGTTTTGAGGGCTAATCTGACTTCCTTAGGGCCCGGGGCCTCTAGGGTGTTGCTGTTTATGAACCTTAAGGTCCTCCTTAGCCAGCATGGTGTAGTGGTTAAGAGCGCTAGACTCGTAATCTGGTGAACCAGGTTCGCGTCTCCACTCCTCCACCTGCAGCTGCTGGGTGACCTTGGGCCAGTCACACTTCTCTGAAGTCTCTCAGCCCCACTCACCTCACAGAGTGTTTGTTGTGGGAGAGGAAGGGAAAGGATATTGTGAGCCGCTTTGAGACTCCTTCGGGTAGTGATAAAGCGGGGTATCAAATCCAAACTCCTCTCCTTCTTCTCCGTGGGGCATTGAGAACATGGTGCGCCTTCCGGGTGTTGGGAAATGTAGTCCAGAACACCAGCAAGGCTCTCCACCTTCTCAATGCCTGCTCTGAGAGGCTCCTGTGTTCTTCAAATTGGGCTGAATTGGGCCTTCGTGGTTGCGCTGGGCGATTCTCTGCCTTTTATTAAGGCTTTTTCATAATACAGTACAAAAAGGACCCACCTGAGTCCTCTCTCGGAGGTCGATCTTTGCCAGGCTGGAAAATTCTTGACGCCCCCCATCCCTCTTCCCTCGCAGTTCCCGTCGCCAACAAGAGAGACACACGCTCCATCGAGGAGGCCATGAACGAGATCCGGGCCAAGAAGCAGCGCCTCCGCCAGACTGAGGACGAGGGCCCCGCTCCGCCCGCCAGCAGCTCGTAGGGATCGGGGCCGCCGGCAGCGGCCGGGCTTGCTCCCCGCCGGGTGATTTCAGGGACTCGCCTCCGGAGCTGCTGCTGCTACTTCTGTGGAACCCACCTGGGGGCTCCCCAGAGCAGATTAGGAGGGGGACCCCCACAAAACATCCCTCCCCCTCCTCCCTAGGTGTACCCCAGCCCTTTTGAGTAGTTGACCCCTAGCCTAGGGTGCCGTTAGCGTGCCGGCGGGCGAGGAGGAGGAGGAGGGTTTGTGAAAGTTTTTATCTTCTGCGTGTGAGAAAAGGGGCTGAGACGATTGTAGCAAGGTGGGAGGGTGTTAAGAGAATAAATAATATATCCCCCCCAAAAAAACACACACACACACACCACAATTCCCTTTTTGTGTGCTGTTCAGACCTCCACAACTGAAGTTGCCCCTTTTAATCCTGTAGTGTGGTTCCCCCCCCCCTTGCACTGAAGCCTCCCACCCTTACCTCTCCCCCCCCATCTTAAAACTCCCCTCCACCCCAATTTTTATTACCACTGTAGTACCACTCTCATCCACCAGAGAGGGCATCCCTCTGAGCTGCAGTACGCCCTGCATCCCACCAGGGGGAGCAACCAAGTTGCAGTGCCACGGCCAACTGGAAGACTTTAACGGGGTGCAGGACAGCAGGAGCCCCCTTTACCCCACTGTGGGGTGGGAGGGCAAAGGGGCCCGTTTGCCCCCGTGTGCGCATTGCGGGGAGGGGTCCTTGCTGCATTTAACAAGAAGGTCCCTTCCGTCTTTGGGGTGTCGAGGCCGAAGCATAACTGTCTTCCCTTTGGATCTTCTCCCAACGTTCCCTGCCAGCTCTGGAGTTTTTATTCAGTGTGTAAATATTTAAGAAATTCTGTTTGCCTGCCTTCCCGCTATGGGGAGCCAATGCCCCCATTGCACACCCCACCCCCTGCTCCCACGGGTCACAGGCTCCCAAGGGGGCCTGGCCGTGTGGATGCGGGAGCCGGGGAGACGCCATCGGTGGTGTTTGGGCAGAGGGCTGTATATGTGTGTGGACAACATTAAACGCTTGTTTTGGACGCTGTCTTGCCTCTGCCTTTTCTCCGTATCGAGAGTGAGAATTCACAGCCCGCTGGAAGCTTTTGACGTTTGGAGGGGGGGAGTTTAGAGGGGAGATAAATAAGCGCTTAAAAGTGTATACGACCACTCGAACTCAGGGCTCTTCAACGAAGTTCATGGGCAACAGGAGCAAGGGCAGTCAAGTATTATTTATGGTGATGATGATTTATTAGATTTATATCATGGGTAAGCAAACTAGGGGCCGGATCTGGCCCAATCGCCTTCTAAATCCAGCCTGCGAACGGTCCAAGAATCAGCGTTTTTTTACATGAGTAGAATGTGTGCTTTTATTTAAAATATATCTCTGGGTTATATGTGGGGTCTGCCTGGTGTTTTTACATGAGTAGAATGTGTGCTTTTATTTAAAATGCATCTCTGGGTTATTTGTGGGGCATCGGAATTCGTTCATTCACCCCCCTAAAAAATATATATATAGTCCGGCCCCCCACATGGTCTGAGGGACAGTGGACCGGCCCCCTGCTGGAAAAGCTTCGTGCCCCTGATTTATATTCATCACAAGACCTCAGGGCAGATCACAAGAACAAATGGATAGGCGTAATTGGGAATTTAGGGACTTTGCTGGTGCAAGATGCAAGGAAGTCCCCTGGCTGAGGTGGGGGGGGGGGATGTCATCTGTGGCCCTTATCCAAATGTGGGGCCCCCACCAGTCCCATGCCCTGTGCATCTCACTGTTTCGTCCCTTTCTGGACTGCCTTTCCCCCAAAGAGCACAAGGCATGACGTTCATATCCAGGTTCTCCCACCCTCATTTAATCCCCACCACAATAGCCCTGCGAGGTACATTAGGCAGAGAGGTAAGGTTACACCCTGTGAGCTTCATTGCCGGGGAGGGGGGATTCGAACCCAGGTCTCTCGCAGAATACCATCCGGCACTCCAACCATTGCACCTCTCGGCCTGTGGGGAGAGTCAAGAGATTGCCCCCTCCCTGGCTCAGGTGGCCTTCACAGGGAGTTGGCAGCGGTGAGGAATCTACCTAGCTCCATATGGTCCACACTGACGGGCAGCTCTGGCTCTCCCGGGGTTCAAGCAGGGAGTCTCTCTGGGGATTGAACCCAGGATCTTTGCATGCAGGGCAGCAGCTCTCCCACCAAGCTACGGTTCCTTAAAATAAAGCCAAGGTACTAGTCCTCGTGGTTCCTTAAACAGGAACCCTGGAATCTTGCCTGTGGCCCGTCTCACTCAGTACGGCTTACAGTGACTGGAAGCAGCAACTCTCCAGGGATTCAGGCAGCCTTCTGCATGCCAGGCAGGTGTTCTAGCAGCCCTTCTTCCCCAAGAGCTCTTTGCCATAGAGGACTCTGCTTGACATTAAATCGCCCCCATCTCTGTGGGCCCCATTGTGACCCCAGGAAGATCCTCCATAGCCTCTGCTAATCCCAGTCCATATGCGTCGAGGGTCGGCTACCATAATGCTCTTTTGCACGTGCACAGGTAATTTCATTTGTGTGTGCAAAGTTACTGAGGCCTAGAAACTTGGAGCCCCAACCTTGACCATTTCTTATAAAGTCTTCATTCAGAGAGTAGGACGGGGAGATAATATACAGTCCCAAACCACTTTGAAGCCCATATTGTATGCTGGTTTCATAGTTTTTGACCTGGGGGGATATATTGCGAATCATGACGTGTGCTTGTGTGCTACGCAAGAATTTGATGCGGGGAAAACCGTGAAGCCAGCCAATGTCTCTGCTTATTTCAGACGTCATGATATCTCAATATACCATGATGTTTAGTAGGTGATGTATCCCAACAGTGCCCAGCCCTGGCAGAGAGACGGAGGGAGGTGAGAGGAGCCCGCCTGAAGCACAAAGGGGAACTTGGCTCAGGGGCAGACTGGGCGCTTCCCAATTTCACTGGCACCAAACTGGCGCACCCGCCTTCCATTCTGTTGTTGCACCACCCTCCCAGTGTGACTGAACCGGCCGCGCACCCCTAAATCCGCCTCTGCCTGGCTAACACACACATGCACCCCGTCCCGTTTCCCAGAAGACGCAAAGAAGGACCCTGACGCCGCTTGCTCTGGCACAACGGCCTTGTTTATTCGCTGCCCCGAGATGGGATGGTGGGGCAGAGGCTCCTCAGCTGCGCCGCCAGGGCCTTTGCCCAGGACCCGGAAGGGGGAAACGAGGAGGGGATCCAGCCAGCCCTGGCGCCCGTGGGGGGCGGTGTTGTGGAGTCGCCTTCCAAGGAGAGGAGAGCAGGTGGGGGGGTCTCTTTCTCCCTGGGGTTCCCTTGCCCCACTGGGGTGGGGCTGCAGGCCAGGCGCTGCTTCTACTTGGCCAGAGGGTGGCGGAATTTGCGGCCGGCAAACACCGCTTTGTCTCCCAGCTGCTCCTCGATCCTGCAAGGAAGGGAGACGGGGAGCAAGATCAGTGCCGGGTCTGGAAAGCAAGACTCGGGAGGAACAGGGATGCTTAGCTTGGAGAAGATAACAGGGCCCATCTCAGATGTCTCAAGGGCTGCTGCTTGGGAGATGGAGCAAGCTTGTTTTCCGCAGCTCCATAAGGGAGGACTCGAACTCATGGCGTCAAGTTACGAGGAAGGAGATTCTGGCTCAACATCAGGAAGAGCTTTCTGATGGTAAAAGCTATTTGAATGGAGCCCCTTGGAAGACGATGGGCTCTCCTCCCTTGGAGGTGTTTAAGGAGAGCTTGCCATGGATTCTGGAGCTGTCGTTCTGGGTTGGGCTGGATGACCCCTGGGGGACCCTTTCCAATTCTATCTCCTCACCTCATCAGCTGGTTGTACTTGGCCAGACGCTCGGAGCGGCAGGGAGCTCCGGTCTTGATCTGCAAAACGGCACCAAAGAGATTGATGTATCAATTGGCAAAACCTGCACTGGGCCCTGTGGGCGCATCGCTCGGGACGCCTTGTGAAGTTTAAAACCCACACAGTCCCAGGGGAAACAGGCTGAGCCGGGGGAAGCGTCCTAAAATGGGGAGTTGGGGGGGGATACAGGCGCCCCCTCTCCACCGGCTGATCCCCACCCTGGTCCGCTCACCTGCCCTGTGCAGAGACCCACGACCAAGTCGGCGATGAAGGTGTCCTCGGTTTCCCCGGAGCGGTGGCTCACCATGACGCCCCAGCCGTTGCTCTGGGCCAGCTTGCAGCTGGGAAGGAAGGAGGAGACGGTTTGGGGGGTGTCCCGGGAGATCCTGCCCCTGCCGCAATAGCCCCCCACCCGGAGGACGCCCTGCCTCCCCGGACACTCACGCCTGGATGGACTCGGTGACGGAGCCGATTTGGTTGACCTTGAGCAGGAGACAGTTGCAGGCCTTCTTCTCCACCGCCTGCTGGATGCGCTTGGGGTTGGTGACGGTCAAGTCGTCGCCCACAATCTGGATTTGCACCTGCGTCAGGAACTTGGACCACGTCTCCCAGTCGTCCTGGTCAAAGGGGTCCTCGATGGAGACGACTGGGGCAGGGAGGTGGGGAGGGAAGGGAGGGCGTTACAGGCCGGCATGCCCCCAGACATCTCTCTCCCCGCTCTGCCCCACGCTTCCTGCCCAGAGCCCTCAGGCTCACCTCCCGGATGGATAATAATAATTTATTATTTATACCCCGCCCATCTGGCTGGGTCCCCCCAGCCACTCTGGGCGGCTTCCAACAAAACACTAAAATACAATAACCTATTAAACATTAAAAGCTTCCCTAAACAGGGCTGCCTTCAGATGTCGTCTAAAAGTTTAGAAAGTTATTTTTCTCTTTGACATCTGGTGGGAGGGCGTTCCACAGGGCAAGCGCCACCACCGAGAAGGCCCTCTGCCTGCTTCCCTGTAACCTCACTTCGCAGATGGAGGGAACCACCAGAAGACCCTCGGCACTGGATCTCAGTGTCCGGGCAGAACAATGGGGGTGGAGATGCTGCTTCAGGTATACTGGGCCATTTAGGGCTTTAAAGGTCAGCTCCAACACTTTGAATTGTGCTCGGAAACGTCCTGGGAGCCAGTGTAGGTCTTTCCCAGTGTTATATGGTCTTGGCAGCTGCTCCCAGTCAACCCGGTGGGGCCAGAGGAGTGAAGAGAGCGCCCCTGGGCATGCACAGAGAGCCTGTCCCTCGCCACGGATGTGGGAAGCAGTCCAGGAAAGGAGCTAGGACGGCCTCTAAGAGCGCAGTCCTAAGCGGGGAGTTCCGCAGAGTTACAAAATGAGATATTTCAAAAGAGAAAATGGACAAGGACTGGAAGGTGTTTAAAGGATACTTGCAAAATTAGATTGAAAAATCAGAACTCCTATTAGAATAAACAAGTTCCGTTATAAATACTGAAATACTAAATAAGGTGGATAACAATGTGAAACAGAAAAAGAAGCAGAAAATTGGTTTTAAAGTATGTGAAAGAAAGCAATAGAAGTGGAAAGAAATTGAAATTGAGTAGATTGGAAGTTTACCCCAAGGGTGGGGTGAGGGGTGGGGGTGGGAGAAGGCAGTACTTGTGGGATTGAGTGTGGGTATGTCTCAATATTCTTTTTTTTGAAATGTATGTCTGTATATTCGTAAAATGTATGTAATAATGTTGAATTGTTTTAATAATAAAAATTATTTAAAAATTAAAGAAAGATATATTTCAGGGGGATTGGGCTTTGTGTCACCCGGAAGCAACTTGGCCATCTCTCTCACCAGGGTAGTTCTTGATGAAACTCTGGTAAAGCTCCCCCAGCTTATCACCGGAGATGTAGCGGTTGGGGTCGTCGGGGGACTTGAAATCCAGGTCGTATTTGCCCTTGCGGAAGAACTCGGAAGCCGCCACGTCCATGCCGATGACCACTTTGTCCGAGTAGCCGGCCTTCTCAATGGCACTCTTGAGGAGCTCCAGGGCTGGCGGGGGAGGCGGGAGGAGAGAGTGAGAAATTGGGGCGCCCCAGTACAAAGAGCATTTCTGCCCAGGGGAGAAAGCCCAAGAGCAGAAGCCAAGCCCAAGAGCCCTTCGCTTCGGGGGGCTTCCAGCA